TCCCATCCCATCCCATCCCATCCCATCCCATCCCAATGCATCCCAATGCATCCCATCCCATCCCTTCCCAACCTGTCCCATCCCATCCCATCCCATCCCATCCCATCCCAATGCATCCCATCTCATCCCTTCCCAACTCGTCCCACTCCATCCCATCCCATCCCATCCCATCCCATCCCATCCCATCCCGGCCGGGCTGCAGCTGCTCTGGGCGCGGGAGCACCGGGGGAGGTGGGGGCTCTGCCGAGGGCTTGGCGCAGGTGTCTGGAGCTGGGATTTAAGTTCTGGCAAGGCTTTTATTTAAGGGAGAAATTTCTTCTCTCCGAGACAGTTCAGTTCCAACTGGTTAAATCACCACGTTTTTCTGATGAATTTTAACAAATCAAAAGCAGGAGGCATGACTGCATGCCCAGAATAAGGAGTAGCACAAAGTTAAATCCACGCTTTGCATACAGCTTTGTGTTTGCATGAACACTAGCAGGAAATTTTACATCACTAGAACAATGTAGAGCCTGGACTTGACCTCCCCAAGTGACCCAGCCACCCAAGCACCTTTGAACTATTCCAGATGTCTGTAAAGCACCAGCGGTGTTACTAATCAAAGTCTTGTCACCACCGAATATCGTAAATTGAAGTCTGGATTATTGCTCAGTGTAATTTGTGAGAAGACCTGTCACATAGTATTTCTTTTTTTTCATCCCTTTATCGTAGCATTTTCAGGCACTTCTGTGGAACACGTGGTTTTTTGAAACCTTAGCACTCATGAGATAAATAATGATCCAGATGTGGGCTGGATAATCCACATGGTGTTCAGCTGAAGTGGGTCATTTATTGCACCATACGTTTTTACTAGCTTTGCTAAACTTTGTCACTCTGTTAGTATTAAGGGTTTGAGGGTTTAAGCCAAGCTATTTATTAACCTCGCAGAAATCTTCACCTGGTAGTGCTGGCACACGCAGGAGCAAAATCATGGAGATATGTGAAAGAAAACGGTACGCCACGGTGCCTATTGTATTTTCCTATCGACCTTTTAAAAAGGAAATGTCTTGGATTTTTAAAGGTATTTTAATAATGGGGTTTAGGAAGTATCAAATCAAATACAAAAACGCAACGATATAGACACTGAAGTAGTTGACTTGGTCCAACAGTCATCCAGCACTAAACCAGGATCATAGGAGGCAAAACTAAGCGCTAAACCGGGCCCGTAGAAGGCAAAACTCCGAAGTGGCAAAGGCTCAGGAAACCAGCGGAAAGTTTCCACAATTTGTGCCCTACTCTGCACCCACAGAAAGGTAAAGACGGGGGGTTCTGCCCTGTGCACCCCCCGCAAGGTGGAAGGAGCTGCCTGTGGGGGACTCCCGGCCAGGGACTGCACCTCCCATGCCGGTATGCAAATCCCTTGGTAAATATTTCGGTAAACCTTTTGCTGACTGGGTGCCCGCTTCAGTGCCCCGACACAGACACCCCGTGCCCGGGCAGTCTGTGTTTAACAAAATCTGTCTCCAAGCCCAGCGGGTGCTCTAGGAGCTGCCAAGGGCTGCGGCTGAGCTTCGGCAAAGGGCCGCAGGTGAGCGGGAGAGGAGGGTGAGGAGGGTGAGGAGGGTGAGGAGCCATGGGACAGCGGGCTCTGAAGCTGCAGCCAGCCCAGGCTTCCCGCAGCATCTCCTCCGAGGCTCCAGCCCGCATTACTCATCCCTTTCCACTTTTACTGCTCTCAGCCAAGTGGCAGGAGTTCAAGCGGGTGGAGCCCTCTTCCCTCTGGAAATATCTGATAAAAATCCCTTCCCTCCCCCTTTTTCCTTCTCCCAGACAGGATATGGGTGTGGGGCCGCAGTCACGCAGGGCGCGCGGGGCAGGGGGCTGCGGGGAGCCCCCCGAGACAAACCCCAGCTGCCGGACCAAGGGTTTCCTTGGGCTTGGGGCCTCTCCGGCAGCTGGGTGCTGCTCGGGGGCTCGGCACCTTCCCGGGGACCGAGGGTGCTGCTGGCTGGAGCAGTTAGGATGTGCAGCCCTCTGAAGGGCCTTAAACTCAAGGGGCTGTGAGTTTTAAAGCTCCTTTTTCCTTCCCTGATCTTTAGAACTTTTCTAGGTCTTGCAAAGGGAATGAAGGAAAGAAAGAATGCTTTAAAATGTCAAGAAAAGAGTTGTTTGGTTTTTTTGGTGTTTTTTTTAAATGATTTGGCAGAGGTGAATAAAAAAGATATAAAAACGAAAGATAAAAGATCTTTTAAAAAACAACTGGTTTGGGTACAAATAGAATATATACTCGCTTTCCCCAATTTGTTCTGAGAGGAGCACAGGACAGCTCTCCACCTGGCTTACCAACACCCAATGTTGCCATCACGAAGCGCTCGCAGCATCGTGGGCAGAGGGTCCTGGAGCACCCCCAGAGCATCAGCCCGTGCTGCGCACCACCGACGGGCGTCAACTTCTCCCACCCCCGTTGCAACTCAGGGGTTGCCCCGAGGATCAGGCAAAGCCCAGAACTGAGCGTTTCACCTGCGAAACCCAGCCTCCATCCTCCCCACGCCACGTCCACGCGTGGCATTTGCACCTGCATGACACGGGGTTGTTTTTTATTTGATTTTTTTTTTTTTTTCCTCCGTAAAACACGTGGCTTTAGTTGAGGGTGTTCTGGGGGCAGGTGGAGGCCGGTCGTCCCACCCTTGGCTGAGCACAACCCGCCAGAACTGGGATTTCCATTGAGAGCTGCACAGCTGAACCCTTGGCTTAATTCACTCGGACTCCCCAAAGAGGTGATGAGCACGCAGAGCCCGGGGGGTGAGCTCTCTGGTCCTTCTCTGCTCTGCACAGCGGCTGCGTTGGGCAGAAATAAACCTCCGCTACTTTCCAGCCAGGGCTAGTAAAGCCCCGTAATATCCTGCAGAAACGAGGAGCATTGGCTCTGCCGCCAAAAGAAATGACGTTTTGCGGCATTAAGCCCCTCATTGCCGGGTGGTTTTGTCTTTCCGAAGGCATCGCTTTTTATCACTTCTTGTATTTATCACCCACTTTGTACTACAAGGGACTCAAGCTTCGCATTTCAGGTAAACACTTTTGTCTTACACCCTCGCTCACTGCTCCCTTCGGCCCAACCAGACAGTCCTGAATTTTATTTCTTTCAAATATTTTTATTTTTTTTTTCTTCCTGTAAAATTAACATAGACCGGAGGGTCAGGCACAACCTCTCGGGTGAACAATATACCTTGGCAGCAAAGGGAACATGAAAGGAGTCCCGTGAAACAGAAGAACAAAATACAGCAAATTCTTTCAATAGTTCTAGTTGCTCACGTTCATGTGAGTAAGGAGAAATTACATTTGAGGAGACGCTCACAGGTTCCTGGCTCCCGTCCCAGCACTCAGAGTGCTGCCTCACTTTTTTTTTTTTTTTTTTTTAATTAA